GAAAGTCGAGCGCAGCTCTTGAGGCATTTTGATTTTGCGATATACCGTGGTAGAGAGTTTGATTTATATATACAGGGTGTTTTAAAAAACGCAAGCCGGATCGCTCCTCCGAGAACTAAGCACCTGACAGAAAAAAGAGCTTACTGCCGTTTTGGTGTCTGCCCGAGAGGCCATTTAGAAAAAATAATAACGTTTAGAAAAAAATTGTTTTTTTTTTTAGTTTTTAGAAAGCAATCTTCTATTGATTCATTTGAAGGTCATAGTTTCAATTAGAAACTTACTGGGCATCATCAATAACCCCTGTATTAACCCTTTTAAGACAAGTATGAAGCATTCCGAGCATTTGACCATGTTTACAAATTACCCTTGGCAGCGGCGCGAGCAAGGCCACGATGGGAACGTGATGGTGCTCGAACCATCCCACCGTGAACCAATATTTCGGCCACCCCACGGGTGCGTGTCGGCACCTATTGGTTGAACTAACGCCTTGGTCAAGATGGCTGCCATGCGACCTCAGACCGCGCTTCGAGGAAACGGGCCCAGGCATCTTGCGGGACTCGGTGTCAGAATCAGCAAGAGCGCGACGTCCATGGCCACCGACCGCATCTTGGAGACAGTGGAAAAGTTCTGGCTCGACGTTTCGTGATACGTGGGGTAAGCTTCTTTAACTTGAGAAGTTCCTTGTTGGAGGGGTTTGAGATCAGGCGGCGGAGGAGGTCGCCGGACATGTTGCTCTTTGGGGTTCAATCGGGGCTAGACCGTTCCTCTTCTATACGGACTGACGATTCGTCGTGTTCATGATCTGTCGACGTAGCTCAGTTCTTCATTCTACGAGGGCGTTGGATAGCGTTACTAACGTATACGTCAAGTTTAAAGGTGAAAACGGCCTTAAATCTTTCAACTCGTTTTATTTTTTTTTTTTTTTTGTATTTTGTTGTATTTCTTTTTGTTTCTTTCTTTTTTGTGAGACATGCGCTGTATGCATGACTTGAATTCCCCGTGGTTCTTGTTTATTTTATACTTATTCGCTTCGCTTGAACTGCAGACAATTAACATCGTCCTTGGAAAACTTCGTGACGAACATAGGAAATGATATCCCGCAAATTTAGTTAAAAAAACAAAATAAAAAAAAACTTCAATTTATGCCGGAAAATTTACGAGATTATGGCAGGAATTACGCAATCTAGTTTTGCATCTATCTACGTACAAAAGGCAATTTTTATATTCACATTCGATTAATAGAACCTTAACTTGATCCGGTAAATTGACTGGGTATCTGCTTATTGTTGGAGTCGAGCACTTAGGAGCAAAACCTCCCCAGCTGCTTTTCTACGGGATTTGAGCTTCCATTTGCAAATATTTCCGAGCAATTGCGAGCTTTTTTTTTTCCGCGCGACGAAATTCCAAAATTTTAAGTCTTCAACTTAGATTCTTGTTTTCGAAAGAATCATTCTTAGTGTGAATGAGCGGCCCATGCTTCGAAAAAGCTTCATGGGAACGGCGGGGTATCCCTTTCGAGCTCCCAGCCTCCAGCACGCGCTCAATTCCCCTCTATCGTGCTTTGACTGGGCGCACACGTTCGAGGTTCACGAGACTCGGAAGCATCGTCGAAGGCAGGGTGTGCGCCCTGGAGTCAGGGGAGCTTAGCTCCTCCCAGGCATTCCCAACTTGTCAGTGACTGCAGGGTGAAAAATCGCTGTCAGGTCTCAAGCAAGATCTCTCCTCTCAAGCCGCGTTCACAATTGCGTGCTGAAACTGGTAGAGCTTCAGTGAAAATACACGGACGTCAGAGTTTAAGCTTCCGGACAACTGGCGGTCAAAGTGACCTAAGGTCGCCCTGCGAGAAAGAGGGCTACAATCGGAGCTTAAAAAAACCCCGGGCGTAGTGAGCCTTGACCATCTTATTACTGCTCGACAACCCATCGGAATACTGCATCAGGCCGATGAGAACGCGGAAGAAGAACCAGTCAAAAAGCAAGAAACGTTTACGTGATAAGTTTGTTTATATTCCTGAAGGAAGACCTCGTCAAGCCTTCTGATTGAATGACACCATAGAACCTCGACTCAAGATACAAGAAAAAAAGAGAAAAAATATTCATGCCCGTTGTTTTGTAAATTGAATGTCACCAACGAGGCGGTGCCGTGTTCTATCAGCAAGGGTGCCTCGAGGGGATGTTTAAAAAACAAGACCCAAAATCGGAGTATTCTGTGCGCGGAGACGGAACTGAAACCAAGCAAACACAAGCCGAAACTCGGATTGCAGATTCGCCGTTCGCTTGATAATGGGTGTCGGGTTGCGATGTCCGCGCTGATGCGCTCTGCCTAAACATACAACGCCGGGCTCTCAGTGCGGGCCGGAATGGCCGTCACATTACAGCTATCCTGAGAAAAACTTTGCTTCGGTAGTGACCAATTAGACTACCCCGGCTTAATAACGTGCGCTAGAAAACGCCGGTTTACCTTCAGACTTTTCGGGAGGCAACTGGTATAGTTTATGTGATAGACGTTTGCTCAAATCTTAATGTTAGTTTGGCGTTTGGTGACTGCGTCACGGCAACATCAAGATGGATTCGATGTGCGGCTTGAAGAGAGTGGTCCAGATCGTCGTTTTGCTCCAACTACTTTTTGCAGGTATGAACACTTCGTCTTCAGTTATTGAACTTTCTGATATCTCACTCCTTCTTTTTAGTTCTAATAGTGCTTATATAGTTGCGTGCACTACTTGCTCTAAAATATTGCCGTGCAAATGTTTTTAAAACATATGTCCTATTTAAGAAAAGTGAAAGTCGTTTACCACTCCCTGTAACGCCGAATTGGAGCGCAGCTCTTGAGGAGGAGGAGGGGAGGGTACCGAGGGCCACGTGTTCCCGAGGGGGGGGGGGGTCACGTGACCCCCCCCCCCCCGAGGGCACGTGACCTTGGTGGGGTCACGTGGGGGCAAACACGTGCCCCCTCAGAGGTCACGTGACCTCGGGTGTCACGTGACTCTCCAGGTCACGTGACCCCCCCCCGGGTCACGTGACCAAAATTTTTCCGCTAGACTTAGCGGGGAAATTTTTCCGCTAGATTTAGCGGGGAAAATTTTTCCGCTAGATTTAGCGGGGAAATTTTTTCCGCTAGATTTAGCGGGGAAATTTTTTCCGCTAGATTTGACGGGGAAATTTTTCCGCTAGATTTAGCGGGGAAATTTTTTCCGCTAGATTAACGGGGAAATGTTTTCCGCTAGATTTAGCGGGGAAATTTTTTCCGCTAGATTTAGCGGGGAAATATTTTCCGCTAGATTTAGCGGGGAAATTTTTTCCGCTAGATTTAGCGGGGAAATTTTTTCCGCTAGATTTAGCGGGGAAATTTTCCGCTAGATTTAGCGGGGAAATTTACCCATAATGCACCGCGCGGTTACGCCGACGGCGACGCCAACGGCGACGGCGACGGCGACGGCGACGCCGCTCAAGCCGGAAACGGGCGCCTAAGAGCTGCGCTCTAATATATTTAAGATTTTCCTACCATGAACGCCTTTCATTTGAGCTTCTAATGCAACATTTTTAGTCAATGGAAATACACGGGAACTTATTTTTTCTTGAGGAGGGGGGAGGGGGGGTTGTCCTTGTGGTCCTCACCACTTAAATAAATTTTGACGAATAAAAATAGTTCATTGTTGCGTGTAGGTTCCGAGCGTTACTATTATTGCTATTTTTAGGTGCGCTCTGCATTATATTTTGACAAAAAAAAAAAAAAGTCAACTGTTTGGGGAAACGTAATTACAGCAATTATTCCTCGAAAACGCCGTTTGACGTCGCCCCCTTGGTGCCTGCTCCAATGCGCAGAAAATGGGAAGCGTCGCGATCTTCGATTACTCTTTTTTAATAGGGAAATCGGCCGCCCATGATTGTAATTTCGGGGTTTCCTTTTTTTTTAGAATGTTTAGAGCCCGTAAATTCAGGTATCACCATACCACCATATCACAACATATCTCGTTATCTGTTTCAGTGATGAAAATAATCCCCGGAGAATGGTAACAAGGAGGACAGAGGACAAACACAAATCTCCGATCACGGCTGGTGCACGACCGAAAAAATCCGCCTGGTCGTGCTCCCCTTCTCCAAGGATTATTTTCATCATTATTGTCCAGCTCGCTTGCACCTTTTCATTCCATTACATTATCATCCATGTGAGTGTCCCTTTAAGCTGCGATCGCACCGTTAATACATCATACAAAAGAACATCCTGCAGACGCTGTCTGGAGCGTGTTTCTTCCCTGTGTGACCGCCATGTCATATGAGGAGAGCAAGTCGTCTGCTTCCTTTGCAGTAGTTGTGGTGACATCAGAAGGATACCGATCTCTGATCGGCATTTATTGAAAGAAAGTGGGTAGACCTCAAAACAAGCTGCATTGAGGTCTACCCACGATCCTTCATTCAGAACCAATCTCAGCTCGGCGTTCTGACTTCAACACGACCCCTTGCAAAAGAACCGCACCAACTTGAGCTCCACATTGGTTATGAAAAAAAAAAAACAACCTGTCTCCGGCACATGTCTGGTGCGTACATATCTATGAAGCGAACATTAGTTCAAACAAGCCTGAGGCGTGCCCGCAGGTAATTCGGTCGTCATGTCTGCTGCGAACATCATGTGACCTTTACGCTGAACGAGCAGTGAAACTGCGGCTTTGAGGTTTTCGTGACTGAAACCCTTGAGCTCTCTTTGCTTACTTTCTTCGTATCTAGATGGCACCGAAGGGACGACTGCCACGGAGGCGGTTCAAGCCCCGGTGGCACCGAGGACGACGCCCTGCCCTTACAGCGAGACGAAGAGCTTGACGTTGGACGTACGTCGTCGCTCCGCCCGACAGAGGGTCATCCAATTTAGCAGCCTCCCAGCTTGTTGGCTTCCGCCCGCCCCGCGCAATGGTTTTGCGATTCTGAGGAGAAATGAGAATCAACTTGAGTTTGACTGCAACCGCGGCTTCAACATCACGTCTACGAACCCCATGATCTGCATAAAAAGGCGGTGGAACAGGCCGCCGCCCAGATGTCTCAACGGCACAGGTGAGATATACCGTTTCGAAAAAAAACTGCTTACTTGCTCCGTCTTTACTGAATGTCACTTTGTACGGAACACTGATCCGTCCATACTTGTGACTGCTTTACACACTTGCGACTGCTTACTAGAGCTTATGTTTTGCAATATTTCCGAGATCAAATGTACGTACTACGATGAGGAACGGTCGTTTATAACGTCGTCAAATGTGTTTCAACCTTGTAGGGAAAGAATGATGCGTAAAATAATAGAAAGTATAAAGAAATCGCGAGGGATCCACGGCTATCCGATGGTGTGTCCTCTCGAGAAAGAGATCACAAGGGGACATAACACATTCGGTCCTAAGCAGACACAAGTGTGCTAACGAGCCTTTAAAATTCTTCGCTGCCATTTCTATCTCCGGCCTTTCATCTCGCAAAAGGCCTCGAATGTATCCTTTCAAAAGCGCTCTGCACGGTTCGTCCTAACCAACCATGGCCGCACTGCAAGCCTATAGCTATCATGAAAAACCTCTTTAGGTGTACCGGTTCTTTTGCACAACCGTAAAATGTTAAACAACCGAGCTTCGCCCTAAAATGATAAAGCCGTCATTTACGTCTCGTTTCGCATCGATCGTTGTCAAAAGGTCGGTATTCCCAAGTTCAAAACGTCCTCTGTTCGGTGTTCTTTTATGCACCGTATACGTCGACTGCCCGGAACCACCTCTCCGCTTTGAGTGCAAAAATTACCGATGTTGTCTTGTTTAAGAATGCTCTTATCAATGTGTTCTCCGTAATTGTTCTCTAATCAGACTGCTCCAGTTGAATAGGAATACAATGAGGTTACTGCAGATGTACAAATTATTAAATAAACAATGCACCTCCGATACAAGCCGAGGTCACCCTTCTCATACATCGTGCAAAGGGCAGTTTGTAAACAGTGTCCGAGTAGCGTTTGTTTCTTCTTTCTTGTATGACGGCCCTGGAACATTGCCCATACGAAAACTCTCAACAAACATCCTCCAAGTATCCTACATATATATGAAGCAAGGATGCTTCGAATTCGCTTGAGTCGGTGTACGCAAATATTTCTGTCATCATGTTTGTGACGAAAACTGTGGATGGATGGATGGATGGTAATGGCTATACCCTTTGTATCGGGTGGTAGCCTGCGCCACCTAGGCGAAGTCTAAAAAGACCGCGTCTTTTGTATGATGTATTAGCAATGGGACTGTTGCTTAAGGCTCTTTACTGCAGTTTTAAACGAATTTTTTAGAAAAAAAAAAGGTACTTTAAATTAAACGAGTTATTCCTCTCTCGGTTAACTTCATCGGTCGCGGCGAAAGTTTGATTCAGCAAGTGTGACGTGATTTCTTAGTGAAAAACAAAAAATTACCCGAAATTCTTGGATGCAAAACTAAGGCAGTATGAATGAACCTGTTCTCGCAGCTTCACTTTTCCCAATGTCGTACGCTGTACGTTCGACAAAGTACAGTTTGACGCCTTTCACGTTTTTTGCTGGTAAATCCGTTGACTTGTGTCTTCTTTCTGATTTGAAAGACTCTCTTCAAGGTAACATTTCACTGGAAAGGTCACTGTTTCCTAACCCCTGTGAAAACAACTACGGCAATTGCGCACATATGTGCATCTACACTCCCCATCACCATTCTTGCGGATGCCGGGGCGGTTACGTTCCTAACGGAACAGAATGTATCGGTGCGTATAAATCTTTCTTTTTTTCCCAAAAAACCTTCTTAACCGGAATTGGGTACTTTTTTTTTTTATATGTGCAAGCCCAGTTACTCGACAGCTTGCGCCCACAGACAAGCCTAACTTTGCAATAAAAAAAAAAAAATCTCCGTGCGCCTACTTTATTCTTAAAGCAAACGGGAAGCCAGATATCATTTTGACGATATCTTTTGAAACGATTTAGTGCACAAACGGTTTGGTTTGAAAGCTCGTTATCTCCGCAGGCGCAATGAGCTCAACATTTTGCTTCCGCAATGTGCGTCATCTACCGGACTAGTGCCCCCACCCAGTAATTTGCAGGAGCAAATTTTAAGTAAAACTATATATATTGTAAGGATGCACGCTGGTATATAAGCTCGCTCCCGGGTGTCTTGCTGAACGCAGAAACGCTAACAAATAATAGCAAAGGCTGGCAATGGGCGAAAAAATCGCTGTTGCTAATACTTCTAACGTAATATATGTACAACGACCATCCGTCAGCAAGCGGGAGCATGTATCTACAGAAATCATAATTAGCACAAACTGTATTTCGCAATACCCATCACATCTCGTCATTATAATAGATCTTGGAAAAAAAAAATCGCCGTTTAGGACGTACCTCTAGATACTCGGTACCGCGTTAAATTTCAACTTTTAAACCTGGATGGTCCGCGTACCATAGCGGTATCTTCGCAGGTCGCGTTTTCAAGTCAGACCCGTTTTCACGTCCCCATCATTTTCCTGTCGCTTTCAGTTGGAATCTATTTGATTGGCCACCGCGTACTCTACGGGGGAAGAGCCACGCTCAGACGTCTTTTTTAAGGTGTAACGCTCATCATGCGTTACACATCCCCGCGCGTCAGCTGGCGCGGCGCTCGATTCCAGTTTAATTTACGAAGCACCGATTCTTAAACGGGTCGTGAAAAGATTTTTTTAACTTTCACTAAATACAACTTAGTATCACTTGCTCATGTTAATAATTGAATAAACTTCTCTTAGTTTTTTTTCTTTCTAGGCAAGGGTAGTCGAAAAAAAAAACATTCAAGAAATATGAGCACCTTTCATCCCCTCATCTCGGAATCAGAACAAGCGACCACGTGACCTGGTGCCTATCCTATGCCGCCAGCGTTAGCCATAGCCATGCACTGGGGTTGCAAATGTAGGAAGCGTGTGCTGAAATCCAGGCATTGTTAGAGTTAGGCTATTGTCATCACCGCAGTGGTTGGACACGAGCCACCACGCGAGTGTCCGCCGACGCATTCATTATTTGTTAAGAGCCGAAGTCGAGTCCTCACGAAGTTCTCGTGTCCAATACATGAGTTGCGCTGGACTGTCGTCAGGCAGGCGATTTCGATCGCAAAATTACGTGGATAAGCTCCGCGAAGGAAAAACTGAAAGAAACAGCCCCCTTCGATCCTCGCATTTACACCACGACGAAAAATCTTGTGAATCAGTGGCGGTCTGTGCGAGTATATACTTTGGCCAAACTAGGGCCAGCACGCATCTGCAAAGTCATAAACACTCGAAGCCGATATTGTTTCATAACCCCTTAAGCTTATACTCCGGGTGAAATCTGAAGGCGACGAGCGTGTAAACGACTTTAGTTTCGGCGGCTCATTGTTTCCCGAAGGCGGCGAACTGTGGTTTCCTTTAATACTTCGCGAGTATGAAATTTCGCTGATGAGGGGTGGTATGCTGTGTATTTGTTACCGCACTAAAACATACTCGCGTGTTCTCTTTTTCGAGATATTATTGACGTCGCGAGAATCAGGTCCCCGTACACCTTATATCTTTTGGCTTTCTTCTCAAACGCCTCGTGCAGCTTTCTAGATACTTTATCTGGGTATCGGGCCAAACATTTGGTGTCATCAGATGACGGGTTCAAGGGCAGCCGCTGACGAGTGTGATACACGCAGCCGCTGCCCTTGCTCTTGCAAAAAACAAAACGCAAAACAAAACATGGCAAAAAAATTCACAGAATGCACGACCAGAGTTCTGCACGAAGTTCCAATGTCATGAGGTTCGTTATACATCGATCAGAAAGGCTTATGTATTAACGATCACACCCACGAACATGATGCGGCAACACGAGCTACCTCCATCAGGACATCTGGCCACGCACTGCGGACTCTGCTTTTGCTCCCAGTCATTTGACGACATAAAATTTTTCGCCAAATACCCAGATAAAGCATCTAGAGAGCTACACGAGGCGTTTGAGATTAAAGCCAAAGGCAAGAGTGTACAAGTGACACATCCATAACCTTATCGGCCAAATAATTAATTTTTTTAGAGAGGGCTACACCAGTTGTAGTCATGACTGATGTTTTTCACGGCTATATAGGGGATTGTTTTTTTTTTGTTTTTTTTTTTAATAAACGTTAGTTGCGAGAGCGCCAGTGTTCACGTCAACTTCTTGACCCTGTCTAATTTTTCGACGCTTGTCTACAATAATCAAATTAGCAGCTTTTCCTGAATCGACGCTGTCTATTTGCGTCAACCGCAAGACAAATAAAATTCTATGAGATTGAACACGGTGAAATTTACCTAATAAATCTGTGTGCTTCAGTCAAAGCGTTGGCTTACGTTTAAAAACGGGTGAAACGCTGGGAAAAAGACGTGAATATGCCTGCATGCTCGGCGATCTCGGTTCAGCTCCCTCAACCGCAATCCTCATACAAAAAGATGCACTGTAGCAACTGCGTGGTTGACACGCCAAAACACACTAAAACCTAGACAAAAAAAAAAAAAAAAAAAAACTCGGGAACTACTTGGTGCGCATACACAAAGCCGTCAGCACGGCCTGCCTCCTTTCTCCCTAGCTTTCTCTTGGTTGCCATAGACAGTTGTGCAAAAGAAAAGATGAGTTTCTCTTTTGTTCTAAGTCGGAAGAATACATTTAAGGCTTCAGTAAGAAAAACAAGCCAATGCGTAATCGACAAACTTTTAGGATGCTTCTTTGTGGTAAAAAAAAAAAAAAAGCCAGATGCTTTCTTTGCACGTGTTCGTGCAATCAACTAGCTCCGCAAACGGCAGCTATTCGTAATTTCGTCGTCAGACCAAGGGACCACCTGACCGTATTCACCTTCGCTATCGTACCTACCCCATTTCCCCGCTCTCCATGATTATCTGCAATTTAGAGTGGGCGCTTGGTCGGTATATTACAGTTTGTAAAGGTGCTTTTTTTTAGGAAAACCTAATGTCAGATAAATACCAGCAGGGCCCGCCGGAAGCAGTACATGGGCCCTGTTTCACCTTTTGCAAAGCATCCTGTCTCCAATGGCATGAAGAAACGGGTGGGGTCGATACACCTGCAGGCCTTTGCTGAGTTGATGACTGCTACCCGGACAGGCAGCTCATTGGCAACTTCTTGTCACCTGAAGCTTTTTTCGTCATTATACAGTCTTCCTGGAACAAAGTAGATAAGACTCCGACTGACATTCTGGAACAAAAAAGAAACCAAAACCTGATTCACAGATCAACAAAATAGCAAGTGGCAACATTACGGTTCTTTTTTCGTCGACAGTGCAAAAACCATGATGACACCACGATTAAACTCAACCAAAGAAGGAATATAAGCATCTTCATGAACTAATTGTATTAATAACAGTGTGCGTGTAGATATTAGATACTTACTGGTACCTTAAAAAATCCCGGGAACCTTAAAGCAAATTAACCACCACCTAGAAATAGCACAGCTCGCATCATAGGCACATGCACAGCAATCAACAAGCCTCTTGGCGTGTTCTGTACTGCTGGGATACAGATCAAGAATCAACAGCGGGGATGTGATCGAAGTCCTTTGGGGTAGTGCGATATGCAAGTTTATCCTGGAGTTGCTGTTTGTGCATGCATTTAATAGGTGTTACAGCTGGTTCTCACTGTTGCAACCGACTACGGCCGAGTTGAAGAAAACAGGGTTTTAAGCCGCTTTCGAGTTCCATTACTACTGCGCGGCACGGCCATAATCCGTCGCAAGAGGCTTAAAGACTGGTTTTGTCGGACTCAGTCCTGGTTGGTTGCAACAGTCCGGCGTTCCTAGTCGGTTGCAACAGTGCCGCGTTCCAACTGAAGGCGTTCGCCGCCAATATAAGCATCTTTGGCGCTATACATGCAATCAGCTTTTCAATATTTCTTGTTTCCAGAAATCTCTTAGAATAAAACTGTTCTTCTTGCGTATTTCATGTAAGGAAGATCACTTTTAAATTCCGTTCAGCATTGACCCTGCATATGTAGCGGTGCGAAAGTGTACGCTTGTTTCGCAGGTGTGAGGATAAAAAAAAAGATCTCTGTATACAAGAATTGTTCTTATAAAACCACCTACCAACGTGAATTTGGATCAGATCACCAAGAATTGAGAGGTCAAGGAGAAATTGCTCTTTCCATTGACCAGAATAGCCACCATTCGAGAACTTTGAAGCTAATTTCCCAGAATCCAGTGACTTCAATTAACCCTAATATTGTTTACAGTGCACATCCTTTTATACAAACCATTAGGCTTCGAAATGTGACGCCATCTTTTCGGTAACCGCTACGTTATTTTAAAGACTTTGTTCATTCGTGACGACCCTTGGATTGCGCGTCTCTGTCGCTGTCTTTTAATGCGAAGTGGGGCGATCAGTAGCACTCTGTTTTGGAATCATGTTTTATTTTTTACTTAAACACTTTATCGACCCTCAGCCCTCGTCTTTCCTCCACAACACAGACGAAGTTTGCAGCACAGATCTGTAGCATACAGTAAATGAACAATTAATTAATTTTAATTTGCGAATTAATTTCGCATTGCTATGGTACGCAGCGGTTACTTGCCCCCCACTGAAACCGCCAGAGCACGGATACATTGTCGGTGAGTGCTCGACGACGTACCGGGGCAAGTGCGTGTTCGAGTGCGATGAAGGATTTGAACTTACGGCCCAAGGAAGCGAAACCCGAACCTGCCAAGGGAATGGAACCTGGTCCGGGGTCACATCCCAATGTGTCGGTGAGTGACCTTACTACCGCGCCCATTGCCATGTTTCTTTAGAGAACCTTCATCAACAGAAAACGTTTAAAGGCGAGCTGCATCCGACTGGTGGGATTTTCGGACCGGTGAACATTGTGGAACTTGTAAGGGTCGTTGAAGGTGAACCTGTACGTACATACATCCAGGGGGAATGTACAATAGGGCAAACATAAAATTATGCCAGCTCTCCTAAGTATTCTTTATGCATGCACAGGGACCGTTGAGATTGTTTTGGCAGCATCCTGATTTGTTTGATGAAGAAAGAACTAGGCTGCGTGATTGCAGTCCGAGAAACATGCGTGCGATTCCCTTGTGACCGGCTGTCGTGCGTTTCCGGACAGTTCACACTATTCATATACTCTTGTCCGTGACATCGCTTATTCCCCATACCGTGCTTGCAAACTTCTCTAAATTGCAGAATGTTTACCTTTGTCCTATCCGAGAAATTTAATCGTGCACCTTGGCTGCACAGTTAGGGACACATTACTTGCCTCCATGAAAGCTAACACTGCTGTACATTCGTGAAAAACTTCACTCCGGGCCCTAGACTTTAACGCCTTCCGCAAGTTTGATCTTGCTGCACTTGGTGAGAAATTTATTAGGCACAAACGTCCCTGTCGACCTTCAACGTCTGTTGTAATTTAACAGTCTAAGAGAATATGTTCCTGTGTGAAAAGTACGACTTCATAGATTCCTCATAGCTTCAATCGACGTTGCAGTAATGATGTGGCTTCTTCGAGGTGAGCCGTATAATCAAAGTGTCAAGGTTGCAAAGCGTACATAGAAATTTCCCTAGATTGCATCCCAAGTGCTCTGAGTCCTAAGCATGGTGTAAGAATATATCGGTGAGGACACACATCATGGCGAACGCTGGGACGCGATGGACCGGATAACGCCCTCTTGGCGCGCGCCCCGGTATCCTCAACCGACAGTCTCTCCACCAACCAGACGTCTCAACTGAATAAAAAAAAGTGTCGCCTTTCGGGCACGCTCTTCCCGCTCGGACCGTTTGCCCCGACCTTGACGAACGGTTTAGATTTCTCCACTTCAACTCGTTCATAAAACTGTAATTGCCATCGTTGAGGCAGGAACCCTGGGGCAACGACAAAGCAGCATATAAGCAAGACGCATCGTGCAAGTTCCAAGTTCTACATGACCCAGAAAACGACCTTCAAAGCCAGCAGTGCTTAAAGTCTCCCACCGGTGGCTGTTATGGTCACCATGTTGGGGCGATTGGGGAGGGGGGGGGGGGGGGGGTTAGTAAGCAAATTCATACAAACGCTGCGTCAAAAACATGCCCAAACCATTCAAGTTGTACCGATGGGTTTAGTTCTTAACTTCGTCGCTAGGGGCGCGGCGGTCGGATCTCCCCCCTAAAGGAGTCTCAGACCCCCCACGTCGAAATCCGTGGGTGTCTGGGATTCCCTGAGACCCCCTGACTTTAAGCAATGAAAGAAAGCGTGTGTCCCGTAGAGAAGCACGGGAAACCGGAACCACAACAGGCTGCCATTAGCCGCATATCCAGAAGTCATCTGTTGTCGCCGCTTGCAACCAGCTGAGGACACGACTCTAGCTGGCAGCTGCGATGCGCGCGGTGTCCGCACTTTTATATATATCTTCGGGGTCCTAAGCAACGTCCATTTTCGGACGAGTTTGTTCATAATCATAATAATCAGGGCAAGAAAAGGACAAAATAACAAGCAGAATAAATAAGACAGGGTTGTGTTTCTAATTATGAGTCTTTCTGTTCTCCCCGTGTTCTTTTTTAGCACTTTTATGTGCACTCTGGGTCCCACTTTGCAGTCAACCGGTGTGGTGAGCCTCCCACTCCTGTTAATGGGTACGTGAGGGATTGCCAGGAAGATCGTGCCGTCGGGACCTCCTGCACCATCTGCTGCATCGAGGGATATCGACTGGTCGGAGAAAGTACCACCGTCTGCACGAGCTCAAAGACGTGGACGGTAGCAGAACCCATATGCAATCGTAAGAAACATCCGCGTACCGTGGTTTTTCTTGAAAGAGCCATTGGCTTTCATGAGCGACGTAGGAGTCGCCTCTATGGCTTCGAGCGACTTGCACTAAAATGCAATTGAGGCCTGTAATTCATTTCATTTCATTTATTAACCATTTCGAAGTGGGGTGGCAGGGACAAAAGGTGCTTAATAGAACCTGACCAAGGTCCCGAGCCCCATACAGGTTTCAGAGCGGCAACACAGATAAAAACAATAAAAAACAAAAACAAAACAAAAAACAAGGTTGTTTACACATTTGTATCCAATATATTATTCAAGCTTCAAAATATAATCCTTTATTCTTTTTTGAACGTATCTATTGAATTTACTGATTCAGCTATTTCCAGAATTTGAGGATGCATGTTTAGAAGCTGGGGAATTTGCTGTGTTAATGTTTGTTCACCATAGCTCGTACGTGTGTGACCTCTAGCATAATCCACACGTCTTAAGTTGTAGTTAGTTTCTCTTAAGGGAAATTGGGTGTGAAACGACTCCGTGTCAGTTTTGAGATAATGAAAGATGGCTTTTGTAAGGTTGAACATTATTAACTGTTGTATAGTAGGTAAGCGATGTTTTTTTAAAATAAGCAGATGTGTGATCGTTATAACTTAGACACTCGATAGAACGGATCGCTTTTTTCTGGAGCACTAGTAGTTTTTCAAGGTTATTTTTAGTAGTCGTCCCCCAAACCAATGAGCAGTAATGTAAATGAGAGTGAACAAGTGCATAGTATAATTGGCACTTAAGCCATGTTGGTAATAAATATCTTAATTTGTGTATTGTGCCAATTGATCTGGAGAGTGTTATAGACAACTTGGACACATGAGTTGTGCAGTACAATTGTTCATGAAACCATACACCCAGGAACTTTAATGATTCAACCTTCTCCAATTTGTATGAGTTAAATTTTATATCTAAGTCGTAGTTAAGCATCTTATTTCTTGCCCTGAAACAATATATTTAGTTTTTAAAATATTCAATTCAAGCTGGTTTGCAACTAGCCACAGTGATAAATCCTTTAACCAATCATTAGCTGTGCTTTCAAGATACTGGAGGTTACTATCGGAAAAAAATTCGCAGACGACTCGACATTCGAGTCGTCTGCGAATAATATCATTTCTGAACGATGCGAAATATTAACGATATCATTGATGTAAATAAGAAATAGTAATGGTCCTAAAATTGATCCTTGCGGGACGCCATATGCTATTTGATGGATGCCTGATTTGGCGCTGTTATAAGTGGTGAATTGTAATCGAGAACTTAAGTAACTATTAATTAAATTGTTCGCTATGCCCCTTACACCATACATGTTTAGCTTTGTTAGTAGTATTTGATGTTTAATTGAATCAAAGGCTTTTCGGAAGTCAAGAAATATTCCGATGGTAAACTGTTTATTTTCAATGTTTGTAATAATTTTATCTTTAATATTTACAAGTGCCATTTCCGTCGATTTATTTTTTTAAAACCCAAACTGCTGCTCGGAGATTATATTATGTTTTGTGAAAAAACTAGTCAGGCAATTATTAATTATTTGTCCTAAACTTTTCGAAAAAATAGGAAGTACAGAAATCGGCCTGTAATTATTGAGGTCATTCCGTACACCACCCTTATGAACAACGCAAACGCGTGCTACTTTCATTCTGTCTGGAAAGCGACCAGTTAACAGTGACGTGTTGCATATGTGTGTTAGCGGAGTTAATATTAGACTGGAAATGAATTTAATTGGTTCAGCTTTGAGACCGTCTTCACCTGGGGCTGTACTGTTTTTAAGGCAAGCAATCAGGGTACTTATTTCTTCCTCGTCCGTAGGAGAAAAGAAAATTGTGCTAGTTACGTTATTACGTATATATGAAATGACATTAGCTGCATTGGTTGGGGAAGACGAGCATGCTCCTGATGTTAGAAACTGAGTATTAAACAAGTCTGAGAGCTGTTTACCTCCGTAGCTTTTGCCATCAATTTTCAGTTCAGTAGGAGGTGGATCACTAGGCCTGGAAATCAAAGTTCCTACAGTGCTCCAGATTTTCTTAGGGTCACCTAGGATGCTCATAAATTTATTTATATAATATTCGCGTCGTGCCTTTTTTAGGTCCGAGTTTAGTTTGTTTCGAACTTTTTTGAACTTGACAATGATATCATTATCTCTTAGCTTGATAAATTTATCGTATATGGAGTCTCGATATTTTATTCTCTTATATAGCGTAGGAGTCACCCAAGGCTTTCTTGACTTATGTTTTTTCAAGGTTCTTAGCGGGAAGACATTGTCATATAAAGATATGAGATTGCTCAGAAAAAGATTGTATGATATGTCTGGATCACTTTCATTATATACAAAGTCCCAATTGATATTAGACACCGAGGAGTAAAACATGTCAAGGTTTTCCTTGCTGATAGGTCGGTAAGTTATACAAGGAAAAGACATGGGGCTTTTCCTGAGTCTCTTAAATAAACAAAATGTTGGCAGATGGTCGCTTACATTCCACGTTAACACCCCTCCTCTCAGTTCATTAGGATTACAATTCGTAATACACAAATCGATTACGGTAGCTGTTTCCAGTGTAACTCTTGTAGGTATATCAATTATGTTATGAAAGCCATAGCATTGTACAATCGCCATAAGGTTTATACACGTTGGGCTTAAAAACAGTATATCAATATTGAAATCGCCAATTAACGTTAACTGGAGACCTAGGGCAGACTGCAGTGCCTAGAGTCACTCAAAGCGTTGCAGAGTATTGTAGTTAGTTTCGTTTTGCCGCTTCCTCGGAGATTGCATAACGCGGACATAGGTCGCCCAGCCTATTACAGTTGCCAGCAGTCAGTTGAATACCCGAGTTATTTCACTTTTTATTAGTTGTTTTACAACTAGGGGTGTGCAAATATTAACATTTTCGAATAAGAATCGAATACGAATAGTTAGCTTCGAATATCGAATCGAATATCGAATAGTCGAAAGCAGGTGCATTTATTCCCAGCGTTTTTATTTTCACATGTCGGAACTGCAGTTGATTTTTCCGCATGACATCTTGTAATCTTCCCTATAAATAGAATTTTCGTTTTTGTGTTTTTATTCTCTTTAACACCAGTGAGACCCTGGTGTTAAACAGTGCCTCACTGACGGAGAGACAATAAAAACACGAAAAAGAAAATTCTAGTTGTAGGGAAGATTACAACTTGTCATGCAGAAAAATAAACTGCTGCACATGGTGAGATAGGAGCCGCTCCCTTCGAGCGGAAACTACACCTCCAGCCAAAAAAAAAAAAAACCCTCTCACTTGGCACGGAAGTAGTAGGTATTACCAGGTATTTGGTGCAGAGCTTCGGCCAAGCACCCTACAGTTCACCACCACTCACACGGATCACTTTCTCGCTTTAGCAGTGCCTTCCTCCGCATACGCTACAACTTCCCATTCTGAAGCTGAATTGACTTTGCTTTCCATTGCACTTTTGAGTATGTGGTCGAATGATTGCCAAACAATGCTGACGGCGTTGAGCCTTGCACTTTTGACTGTGTTTCAGCTTCCGGCTGGGTTTCTTCAGTAGCATCACATGAGGCTATCTACTGCAGCACCAGAGCTTTTAGCCATAATAATTTTTCCTTTTCAGCTTTACAAATAGTGGACTTGAAGCGTGGGTCCAAGAACATAGCCAAGGCATGCTTCCGTTTCCTCCTTATACAGAGTGAATATTGCCTTGATGGACGTTATCAGTTTTCCGGGAAATTCTGATTCCTCAGCAGAGTTACCTAGACGTTGGGGCTTACCAAAAATGATAGGAGCCTGGAGAACAAAGACGGATGCTTCTCAGCACTGGCAATAACAGTGGCATCAAACAATGGCTTCAATGTTTGTACATATTCAGAAGCATCTTTCGACTCTCATTAACCAAGTCCATCGATGTCACAGTCTGAGGTAGCAAGCTCCACAGTGACTGTTTCTTTGAGTTCCAGAAGGCGAGATAACATTATATACTGGCTATTCCATCTCGTCTCTACGTCTTGCACCAGTTGTAGTGTGTCCCTTCCCATCTTCTTTTGGCACTCCTCGAGCCTTTTCTGAGTTGATGAACTGTGCTTGTAATGTCCCACAATATGCCTCACTTTCATGCATAGGTGATGAATAGCCGGCGAACGGGATCTCGCTTCATTAATTGCCAGTTAAAGCGTATGCGCGAAGCACGCTCTTTCAGTCCACGGAAGTCTCCTTACTGCAGCACAGATACTGCGCCTGTTATACGTTACGATAAACTTCGCACATTCATCGGGTAACTCCCAGTCACGGCACATATCGTCCAGCATAGTTGCAATGTTCACAGCACTGTGACTGGCAGCCATATGTGTCAAGTGTTCAATATGAACCGCTTCATCATGAATTCTGGAGTGAGAAGATGGCAGGTGAAGTTCACGCAACTTTCATTAGCGCGCGATGTCCACATGTCGCTTGTGAATGCAGCAGCGGTAGTGCCGCCTTCAAAGGCACTGTTGAGCTCTGCTTTCACTTCTTTCGGGTGTCGTCATACATCCGTAGCCCAAGCACGCGCGAGAGTGTAGATCGGATTGGTAGGTGATAGTTGGGAACGGCTTCTGTCAGAAGTTCTTCGAAGCCGCGGTCTTCCACAATGCTGTAAGGCTGTAAATCAAGCACCACCATGGCGGCCACCTTGCTATTTAGCACTCGAACCCTCTTTCCTGGTTGGGGCTCCGTGCGGCGCACGAAGTCCGTCAGCGTCGGTTAATCTTTTCCTGACCTACCAACGGTAATCCCACGATACTTTTTCAACAACGCAGGATGTACTTTGAGATGGTTGACAATGGGCGTTGTCGTACCTGTGCACGCTTTAAGCCTTGACCCGCATGCCGTACATGGCGCCATCGATGGCGTCACCCTTGCAAAATATTTCCAAATAGCGCTCTTCTCTCCTCGTTTTGGTGCCGTTTCCCGTTCGTTTCTCCGCTTCGCAGACGGTTCCCCGCAAACACCTCCATCTGCCATAACAAGGGTGGGCGAACGCGAAAGTGAGCAGTTTAAAATATCAGGAGTCACAAGGAAACAGAAACTCGCAGATCACCGCTACCGACA